TCGGATGATGTATCGAAGGACCTGGCAACGCACTCCTCAACACTGGGAGGCACTACTTTTTTGCTCTTAGACGAGCGTGATGAAGAAGAGGTTTCCCCCCTTCGGGGTACCGTCTTAGAAGTTTTAGCCATGATAATAACGAAGTTTCAAAGCAAGGTGGTGAAGAAGTAAGCGTAGAAGAAGGGTGAACACAGGAAAACTGTTAACGAAAGTTTTTGAAGATCTGAAGATGTTGCAAATGTTTGAAAGAGAGGGAATTGGAGTATTTATAAGTAAGTTGGAGGAGTTGAAAGGGCGACCAATAGCGGTTCGTGGGCTTTTCGAGAATTGTGATGACAAGACCCCTGTACAACTTTTTCTGCCGCGCCATTTAATGATCTCACGTGGCTAACATCATGACGGGGATATCGGAGAGGTAAGAACTCAAGATCGTTTCTTATTATTTCATTCTAAGAAACGTGGGGACTATCTGTATGCGACCAAAATCGGAGAATCCGACTTTGAGGCTTCTGTGCCACTTCACGCCCGGCCTCGAGGGGCTCGAAGTGAGACTTGAGGGCAGACCCCGAATGGCTCCCCTCGAGGGACACATCGAAGGTCGATCTCGAAGCGGCACGGGTCGGTGTTCGTCGAGGAAAGGCGGGAACCCCCAAAAGCACATGATGATGACTGACAGAGTCTGCAAGAATAGTACACATCCGCACTGATCCGCTATACAGCTGTACTAGTAGCATTAATTCTTTGTTTATTAGACATGTACTGTGTTGGGATTCACCCCTCCTATATAAAGGGGACCTTTGTCATTTTATAGGGGGGATCCGCATTATTACACAACACATTGAATACAATACAACATTCTCTGCTCTCTTTTCTAACACTATTGTTCTTCACTTTTATTGCTTATTCTTTCATTGTTCATTATTGTTCTTCATTTATTGCTCATCACTAACCACAAAAGGCCATCTGTAAGGCCCTCATTATCATTGATCTTCATCGGTCGTTCGTAGCTATCAGCCCGAATAGACCTCGAGGCCTTGCTCCAGCTAGCTCGAGGCCCAGCCTAACAACCTTTTTCTGGTTCGCATTCCTTGTTTTGTTTACTCACACTTAGCATCTATCGCCTAACAACTTGTATTAAGATAAATCACATATTTTTAGAACCACAAAATTAAATATAATTGTAGCTACCATCTTCAAGGTAAACACATGCATGGGCACCCATCGAGACATTGCAGGATTTATGCCGCTGTTGCAGGTGAAAACATAGTCAAATACTCTCTTCGTTATAACATACATCATAAAAATATACCTTAAATTCTACGTCGAAATTGTATATTAGGTTTGGGCCTGGGAGTGGTTCCTGCAGTTTCAGCCACCTCTACAACCCATAGCTCAGGATGTACCACCTCTACCGTTTCTTCCTTTAGCTAGCAGGTGGGTTGATAGGCAGGGATACGGACGTGAGTACGAGACTCGACATAATCTCCCCTATTACAGGGATTTGTTGGATTTGCTGGAGGCCGCGAAGGTAATTCTATACTTAAGTTTACTTGGCCTAGATTTATATGTATTGTATATACTCACGGTTCCTATTTTTACGTAATAGCTCATTTGAAGGCCATACATCGACAAGCTAATAGCTGGTTTGCCCGATTATTGCTCGACCGGGCAACTTATCTGGAGTTTTTCCGTCCCGTTGATGTGTCTCAATATTGTCGAGCATCATGCCACAGAACGAGTCATTCGCCAGTTTGGTCAACCGCAGTATGTACCTCCACCGTCCGCTTGGCTTAGGACACATTACCCGCGGGATGATCATTCAAGGGGTGACCAGGCGTATGAGGCATGGCTAGAGTTCCACAAATAGCGTCCACGTCTCTTGGCTTTCATTGACACAAATAACAAAAGCAAGGGGAAATATACCTCCATTACCATCTACTACAACGGCGATCAACATATTAATATCATACTTTCATAGACATGAGTGCAGCCTATGGATATTAACGGCCGGTAATGCACAAAACCATCAATTGCTGGTTTGAAGGCCCAGAACATATATCTGAGTATATGTTCTGGTATTCTAGGACTCCGCTCAAGCTTCCATTCAACAACAGTCCCGGGGTTAAAGTGTTGCAATGCGGCCATGTACCTGGTAATGGTTCACCCATATTCCTGGTGGACAGATGTAATACACTCTTTGATATTGTACCTAATGGAGGCTTCAATGTGTGGAATCAAGACAAGATAAATTAAGTCAACATCCAAGTTAAAGTGATTCCCGCTGAATGTGTCCATTTCACAATTGTGGGTGCCAATGTATTTACGCACAACCCACATATTTGTTTTTTTCTTCCTTGCACGCAGCATCCAATTACAACCCGTAAACCATCTACGACGAACGGCCTTGTATACATCCGGAGATGATTCCCATACTATCATCTCACAGCACTCTTTTACGCTATACATTTTCACCGTCCTGATTAGGCGCGCCTTATCAGGAAAAAACATGCCCTTTGACAGCACCGTTGGTCTATATTCATCCCACATTGCTGTCCGAATTTCATCAATATCCCTTGTGAGGCCATTCATATCCGGTATACTTGGAAAATGATCAAGGTAGGGAATATGCCTTGAATGAAACGACACGTGGGACTCGTACACTCTTGGACTAACAGGAGGTGGAGCATGCTCCCTCGTCAAATCAGGTTCAGCATTCTCTTCCTCCTCCTCATCATCCTCGCCAGGGAAGGGTGTGTCATCTCCAAACTCATCGGCATTGTTGTCATAATCAATATTCTCTTCCTGACTCTGCGCATCTGCCAGATCCCAATTAAATACGTCATCTTCGGGCAATTGAGTAAGGACAGGACCATCAAGTTGCTCGTTTCCACTGCACAACCAAAGAAATAATGAGTTATTCAAATTGGTCCAAACAATACATATAACTTTATATATTAACTTACAAATCATAAAGTGTTGATATCCATGATACACATTAAATTGTTGATGCTGACTCCCAGATGAACCACCATGATCCAACATACCAAAGCTAGGCATATTCCAACTGGCCGTTGGTTCATAACTTGTAAAATTCATATCTAGTCAGTACTCCCTGTGGAATATATGAGTGTTAATATAAATAAAATACACAAAAATATACATCGTACACAAAGGAAAATGGAAGTTTACCACTCGGCTTGTGGACTATGTATACTAGGGGAGAAATTATTTTCTCGCTCCTCATTCGCCCGTGGAGATAAGTTTAGATCCGGCCAAACTCTTTCTACCGGAACCTGTTCGGCTAAAACTGCTCCAAAATAACCACCCGATGATTGATGGATTTTCCTACTTTGCGTAACCTCATTATTGCGAAGATCTTCAACCTTGACGTACATTTTCAACAGTTTTATCACAATAAATTCCCGGTATACATCCGTAGTCCTCAAAAATTCTGTCAGAGTTCCATCGTCTTCGATGTTAAACTCAACATAACAAGCAACCCCTTGCGGAGTCACAGAATACGGATATCTTCCGATCACTTTAAGATTCACCGAACATTTGCTCACACTCATTTTATTATATAACAATGATACCAATCTATCGTACTCCATTGTAAATGACAACTTAACATGACACTGTGGAGATAAACTATAGCTTACTAAGTTATTCGCCACCAAAACCTCACCCCCAATATAATGAAATCCTAATTCTCCGCTCTTCAGATATTATGATAAAATGCAAAACAACTTAACGAAGAAAAATTTCACAAGACTTGAGAATATTTCTGAATGGATTTTTATAAAATCCTTCACGTCCTTAAATAAGGCAAAAACCAATCCGTGGGGTAAATTATTTGAGGTATAGCATCTTAGCTTAAGATGCTATACTCAGTTGAATTATTGTTCTGTCAGTTAAGCCCGGAAGAATTATTTGTGGGCCCACGTAATACATATAGCGTCTTAGTGAAAAACGCTATATATATATATAGCGTCTTTTTAAAAGACGCTATATTTAACTGGCCAAACGGCCGTTAAGTTATAGCGTTTTTTAGAAAAACGCTATATATATTTTGGTCACTATATTTTTTTCCACATATTTTTGTTCTTTGAGTCCAAAAGAACCACATTTTGGTCCCGGCTCCCGTTATAACGGTGCTTTTGGTGCCTACTGTTTCTTGAATGCTATAGCTTTTAAGGTGCTGCTATGCGCAGGGTCATGTGAAGGGCTGGACCACAAGGGTTATTTTACAAATATTCTATATGTGTTTCTCATATCAGTCATCTATTAAATGGTTTGAATTTGGTTTTGATTTAGTTGTTTAAGAATTTTGATTTGAAAAGGTTCTTCGAAAACAAGTTTAGAAAAAAGTTATGTATTGGAATTACCTTTCGATTTAATTTTTTCCTAAACATCTGCGTTAATTTGGTAACAACCTAGTTTTAAGAGGTCAGATTTTGATTTCGAAAAGAAAAAAGATTTGCATATGTTTTCAAAAAATGTTCTTGTGCAAAACGACGTTTCGAACACATGTTAGTACTTTCTAGTCTTGAAACATTTTTCCGAAAACTCATCAAAACCAGGCACTAAAAAGTATTTGAATTCAATTAAGATAACAAGATAAGGTAACATTTTTACCCATCTAAGAAGTTAATCATGACCAAGCGCGGATTTGTGCTTAAAAATGTACTATACGTGATTTGTGACAAATATTTACGGATTGGATGATACAAAAGAGAATTTATGGTTTATATTTTTTTCAATTTAAAGGAAGTATATACCCGGCATGCAAAAAAAAAAATTTAAATTCAATAAACCACATTAATATTACACCATAGCAAACAGAAAACCTGGAAACTAACCCTATAGAAAGAAAGTAATGAATCACGAATATACAACTAATCCCTCTATTTCTAAACACCAATTCTTCTTTTTCTTGATAGAGAAACGTTATTTCTTGAACCAAAAAAGTAAGTATTAAGACAATAATCCACCCAGCTTTTCTAATAGGAAAAAACCCACTTGCCATTATACCATTCTTGATGAAACCTCAAAACCTCAGGAGGATATGCAACTTCATCCGCAGTTGTAGGGAAGTAGACAATGTACTTTGTCCCAATTCTCCCAGTAATAAACCCTAACCACCAACCATCGTTGTCAAATGCATCAACTATACCGTACAAACGGAAGTTGATTTCTGGATGTTGAGGGGGCACGGAACGGATCTCGCCGACAGTGACAATCTCCTCTAGTGGCGCAGATTCATCGTCAGTCAACAGAGTCTTGTACTTGACTCTGTAATGATAAGCGCCAACGGAAGAAACAATAGTTGCTGTGTAGTAAGAGCCAATGTAGCCATATTCTTGACTTGCTACTTCAACTTCATCGCCCTTTTCAAATGGTGTTTTTGGTGCCTGCTGTTTCTTGAATGCTATTGCTTTTATTGCATTTGAAAGCATCGCCCTTCTTGAATCGCTTTTCTCTAAATCTCTAATTGGTGCCATTCTGATTCTAAAGAGAGATTGATGTTGGTGAATGAAGACTTTTGGGCGTTGCAACTGAATTTATAGGAAGAGATTTTGGTTTCCTTCAGTGAGTAGGAATTGGTTTTCCTTGAATGACTGGGAATTGGAAATTTCAGTTTTCCTAATTCCTTTTCCGGTTCATTTATTTTACTTTCCTAATTTACTAGGACGTTTGGTTCAAAATATTGAGAAAAATAGTTTTCACAAAAAAGCAAGACAAATAAATAAGTACACGTGCCAATCTTAGTGGGCGTTTGGACATAAAAACTGTAAAACTTCGAAAAAGAGTAAAAAAAAATTCAAGTAAAAATGGTATTTAAAAATTAGAGTTGTGTTTGGACAAGAATATAATTTTGGGTTGTTTTTGAATTTTTGTGAGTGATATGAGTGAATTTTGAAAAACGACTTCTTGGAGTTTTCCAAATTTTCGAAAAATTTCAAAATTCATCTTCAAATGAAAATTAAAAATTTTATGGCCAAACACTGATTTAGAAAAATTTAGAAAAATTCGAAAAAAAGTGAAAAATTTCTTATGGCCAAACTGGCTCTTAATACTTGCATATGAAAAAAGTTGTCCGTGTTTTCAGAAGAACAAACTAACTCAAATAAATAACAAACAACAACATACATTTCCACAAGTGAAGTTTAAGAAGTGTAGTATGTAAGCAGATTTTACATATACTTTATAAAGATAGAGAGACTGTTTTCGAAAATTCAGATAAATAATGAGATTAAAAATTTAATATAAATTTTCTACTAACAGATTTAAACTAGTACTTACAGCTTGTTTAGATGGTTGTTACCCATTGTACTGTATTGTATTGTTATCCCAAAACAATGTTTGTTTTGATTGTTTATTTAAAATTGGTTGTATCGTATTGTTAAATCCATTGTTCCGGAACAACCAAAAGCCTCATTTTATGAAACAACCGATTTGGTGTGGTGGGATCGTTTCCTATTTTCTTTTCCAATTATGCCGAAGCAAACTTAAGTAGACTCTCTCTCTTCTCTCTTCTCTCTCCTCTCTCTACATTATCCCCAACGGTCAGCTCCCCTTCCCCCCACCCACCCCCGTCGACTGTCCCCCCCCTTAAGCCCCCCGCCCCCCTCCCGGCCGATCCCTGCTACCTGCCCGGCCGACGCCCCCCTCCCGGCGACCCTACTCCTGCCGGCGACGCCCACAGGTAAGTTCACCCATTTCTCTCTCTCTCTCTCTCTCTCTTCCTCCCTCTCCCCCGTTCCCCCACCTCCACCATAGCCAGCCCTCTGCCCCCTCCCCCTCCCCCCCCAACCTCTCCCGTTTCTACCCCCCCTTCCCCCCCACTCCCTAACTCCGGCGACAACGCCGGCGCCGACATCCCCCCCTCCCTATTTTTATTGATTTTTATTCTCCCATTCTCCCTCTCCCACTCCACCTTCCTTTCCCACCTCCTCTTCACCCCTTACCCCACCCCCTTCTCTAAAATAGGCGCCCCCTCCTCTTTCCCGGGTCAGGTAGCCCCCCCCTCTCGTTTTTGTGTGTGGTTGTTGTGTGTGTGGTTTTCAGGTACTAGTCGCGGCGGACGAGGCGAGCTTGCGGCGTTTGGAAGTGAAGAGCGAAGCAACACCGACCGGGACGTGCAAGAGTTGGCAGTAGTTGTCCTCGGGCGCATCAAAGCTTACTTTCAAGTTTTTCCATCGAGAGTTAGTACCTCCCGCTCTCTTGTTTACTCTGTACACCCTTTTACGTATTCTAGCTAGCATCCTGTGTGCGGTTTACTCTGTGGCTATCTAGCTAGCATCCTTTTACGTACTCTGCTAAAGTTCGTGTGTGCGTCACTGTTTTCCGTAGTCGGTTGGAGGTATAGTGGCCGCGGCGGGGGATGGTAGTGTAAGGTCATGTCCTCGGGGGTGGGGGTGGTGGTGGGGGTGAGCAGGGGGCGGGGAGCGGTTCTGTGGGTGGGACGGGAGGCAAGGGTGGGAAGGGGATAGCGGGCGCTCATAGATTGAGGATCGGGTCGTGGAACATATGCACACTGACGGGTAAGTCCATTGAGTTGGCGAAGATTCTTCAGAAGAGGAGGGTCAGCATAACTTGTGTGTAGGAGACTAGGTGGGTAGGGTCGAATGCGAGGAATGTAGACGGGTTTAAGCTGTGGTATCTGGGGTCGTGAGGGGTAAGAATGGAGTAGGAATCTTGGTGGATAGGGATCTTAGGGAGTCCGTGGTTGAGGTTAGGCGAGTGAATGATAGGTTAATGTCTATTAAGTTGGTTATTGGTGGATGTGTCCTCAATGTCATCAGCGCTTACGCGCCGCAAGCAGGCCTGGATGAGGAGGTTAAGAGGCGCTTTTGGGAGGGCTTGGACGAGTTGGTGAGTAGTATTCCCCACTCTGAGAAGTTAGTTGTTGGAGGGGACTTTAATGGCCATATTGGGGCTACTGCTGGTGGTTATGGCGAGGTACATGGTGGCTTTGGCCTTGGGGTTAGGAACGGAGGAGGCACTTCGCTGCTTGATTTCGCCAGGGCTTTCGAGCTTTTGATTGCGAACTCGTCATTTCCAAAGAGGGATGAGCATTTGGTTACTTTCAAAAGTTCGGCAGCGAGGACTCAGATTGATTACCTCCTCCTCAGAAGGAGCGATGAGGGTTGTGCAAGGACTGCAAGGTTATTCCAGGAGAGTCCCTTTCGACTCTACATAGACTCCTAGTGATGGATGTCGGTCTCTGGGTGAAGAGGAAGAGGAGGGGTGCTCGGGGCCGACCGCGGATTAGATGGGGAGCTTTGACTAAAGAGAAAGACCAGTAGTTGGAGAGGAGGTTAGTTGATGGTGGAGCTTGGAGAAGTTCTGGGGATGCGGACGCAATGTGGTCAGCGACGGCGAACTTGGTTAGGAGGCAGCGCGGGATGTGCTTGGGGTAGCAAAGGGCTATTCAGGCAGACATCAAGGTGACTGGTGGTGGAACGATGTAGTCCAGGGAAAAGTGGAGGCAAAGAAGGCGGCGTTTGCTAAGTTGGTAGGGAGCACAAACGAGGATGAAAGGAGAGTGAACAGGGAGAGCTACAAGGTGGCGAGGAAGGAAGCGAAGCTGGTGGTCACGGAAGCTAAAAATGCGGCGTTTGGTCGTATGTACGAGGAATTGGGGGAGAAAGGCGGGGACATGAAGTTATTCCGGTTGGCTAAAGTGAGGGAGAGGAAGGCTCGAGATCTAGACCAAGTTAGGTGCATCAAAGACGAGGATGGTAGAGTTCTGATGGGGGAGTCTCAAGTCAAGCAGAGGTGGCAGTCGTACTCTCGAGACCTGCTTAACGAGGAGGGGGATCGAGACATAGAGCTAGGGGAGCTGGGGCATTCAAAGTGTCATAGAGACCTTGGGTACTGCAGGCGCATTAGGGTGGAGGAGGTCGTGGGGGCTTTGCGTAGGATAAGTCGGGGTCGAACGACCGGGCCAGACGAAATCCCGGTGGAGTTCTGGAAATGCGTGGGTAGGACAGGAGTGGAGTGGCTGTCTAGGTTGTTCAATGTGATCTTCAGGACTAAGAGGAGTGGAGGTGGAGTACAGTGGTGCCCTTGTATAAGAACAAAGGGGATATCCAGTGTTGTAACAACTATAGGGGTATCAAATTACTTAGTCACACCATGAAAGTCTGGGAGCGGGTGGTTGAGGCGAGGGTGAGGGGGATGACGTCCATATCCGTGAACCAGTTCGGTTTCATGCCGGTCCGCTCCACTACAGAAGCTATCCACCTGGTCAGGAGATTGGTGGAACAGTTCGGGGATAAGAAAGAGGACCTGCACATGGTGTTTATTGACTTGGAGAAGGCGTATGACAAGGTCCCAAGGGAGGTGCTATGGAGGTGCCTGGAGGCGAAGAGCGTGCCGGAAGCCTACATCAGAGCGATCAAGGACATGTACGATGGAGCTAAGACTAGGGTTAGGACGGTGGGTGGCGACTCAGACCATTTCCCGGTGGTTATGGGGCTTCATCAAGGATCCGCGCTTAGCCCTTTCTTATTTGCCTTGGTGATGGATGCACTGACACGCCATATTCAAGGGATGTGCCATGGTGTATGCTATTTGCTGATGACATAGTCTTGATAGACGAGACGAGGGTCGGTGTTAACAAGAGGTTGGAGGTCTGGAGACAGACTCTCGAGTCTAAGGGTTTCAAACTAAGCAGGTCTAAGACAAAATACCTGGAGTGCAAGTTTAGTGCCGAGTCGAGCGAAGTAGGCAGGGACGTGAAGCTTGGATCTCAGGTCATCTCCAAGAGGGACAGTTTTAAATATCTTGGGTCGGTAATTCAAGGGGACGGAGAGATCGACGAGGATGTCACTCACCGTATAGAGGCGGGGTGGTCGAAATGGAGGCTTGCATCAGGAGTCTTGTGTGACAAGAAAGTGCCACCGAAACTCAAGGGGAAGTTTTATAGAGCTGCGGTTAGACCTGCCATGTTGTATGGGGCGGAGTGCTGGCCGGTTAAGAAATCGTATGTTCATAGAATGAAGGTTGCGGAGATGAAGATGCTCAGGTGGATGTGCGGGTGCACCAGGTTAGATAAGATTAAGAATGAAGTTATTCGAGAGAAGGTGGGGGTGGCCCCAGTGGATAAGAAGATGCGGGAAGCGAGGCTCAAGTGGTTCGGGCATGTGCGGAGGAGAAGCCCTGATGCCCCCATAAGGAGTTGTGAGCGGCTGGCGGTGGTTGGCTCGAGTCGAGGCAGAGGGAGGCCTAAGAAGTATTAGGGAGAGGTGATTAGGCAGGACATGGCAAGAATGCGGATTTTCGAGGACATGGCCCTTGATAGGAAAGTCTGGAGGTCTAGTATCAGGGTTGTAGGATAGGGGCTTCTAGAACTTTTCGTACTTTATTCCCGGGGATAGGTGGGGTTTGGTAGGGCTCTCCATAGATGACTTGCGTATTTTATTGTGCCCCCTTATGGTAGTTACTGGTCGATATTATTGCATGCCATTTAATTTATGGTTTTATGTTTAGATTATTATTTATGCGATTTCTGCTGGAGTCACTAATGCTTTTTTGTTTTTCTTTTTCCTTTTCCTTTTCTTTCCTGAGCCGAGGGTCGATTGGAAACAGCCTCTCTGCCCTTTCGGGTAGGGGTAAGGCCTGTGTACGTATTACCCTCCCCAGACCCCACTTTGTGGGACTATACTGGGTAGTTGTTGCCCTTATTTATTACTCTATAATTCTATTTTTTTATTTTTTTATTTTATTTTAACTCCAAATCTCCAACCTATTGACCTACTTTATCTTCTTCCATCTTTTCTAGAGTTGGTTTGCCCCGTTCTTATTATCCAAGTCTCTATTAAATCTTTTGTATCTTTCCATCGTTATAATTAATTTTTTTGTTGCTAATATTAGTTAACCTTTTTTCCAAGTTTTTGCTCTTGTTTTCAAGCTACATAATTAATCATAAATTAGTAGAAAGAGGTTGTCTTAAGTTATCTTTATGTGTAGTTCTTGATAAATTTTATTTAAAACAATTGGGGGTATTTTAGTGAACTTATCAGTTACAGTACAGTACGATACAGTCAAACCAAACAACAAAATGTTATTTAACAACAGCAAACGATACAATCTATTCAAACATTGTATCCATAAAACGATACAATACAATACAGTACAGTACAATACAATACATTATAAAACGATGGATAACAATGATCCAAATATAGTGTTAGTAATTTCTTTGTTTTCTTGTAAAGACGCTCTCAATTATCCAACTACATCGTAATACTTAGAGTTAATTACACTAAACACTCCTATAATGTGACTCAATTTTAAATATACCATTTCTATTCTAAAATCAAACACTTATACCCCTATATTATGGAATTCTTATACTCGCATCCCCTTTGAGGTATATATTAAAACATAAATACTAAAAGCAAATTAAATTACAAATTAACCTCTTATATAATGAAAATTCTAAACAAACTTCATCTATTAAGTAATTAAGATGATTTTGAAGCAGAAGAATAAATAAAATAAACATGAAAAATTCCTATAAATAAAATTATAATTAAATAAAAATACAACTAGTGCACATGTTTAGTAATAAGAGTTGGTATAACTTATTAAATGATTTTAATTTATTTTTATGAGTTGCTTATTTATATTTCAGTTTCTTTTTTAATCTAAGACGTGAAAACTAACTTTTAACAAAAATACTTATCCTCCTTTTTAAATTTCTCACAAATGAATATGTAAAACTTTTTATTTGTAATTTTAACTTATTTTTAAATAATTATATTTTAATATACTTAGCTGCGGATATACCTCATATTTGGTGCAAGTATAGAATTTTCATGATAAAAGGGGTATAAGTGCTTGATTTTAAAATAGAGAGGGAATTTGAAACCGAGTCATATTATCGGGGAATTTAGTGTAATTAATATTAATACTTATGATGGTAGGAGGTAGCAGATATCCAATAAAATAATTAAGAGCGTACAAAATTGGCTCAGACACCACTATCGTGAAAAAAAATCTTCTGCATCATAATATTTTAACCTATATATATCAAATCCATTATATCGTGACATAACTTTTTTGAACATGTCGAATAATCAATAATACTTGTAATACAACATTCTATCAAATGTTATATATCATTAAGTATCGTTTATTTATAAAAATATAGTAAGAATCACACTACTAATAATCTAGCATTACTTTTTTCTCTCAATAATAATCTAACATTACTAAGAATACTTGAAACTTGCAGTAAACCACTAGTTACATTTTAAATTTTAAAATTTTAGAAAAGAAAAATGGAAAAAACCAGGAAAAAGGCCCATCCGCCCATGTCTAGAACTTATCGCAAAGTTGAGAACCTACCGCTCTAATAGCCTGTTTGGCCAAGCTTTTCCAAGAAAAAAGTATATATTTTTTTTAAAGTTAAAGTATTTGAACAAGCTTTAAAAAGAAAAAAAATACTTTCGAATAGAAGTAAAAATAGTTTTAGAGAAGCAGAAAAGAGTAACTTCTCATCAAAAGTGCTTTTTTAAAAACACTTTTGAGAAAAATACGTATAGAATCACTTTTGAAAAGCTTGGCCAAACACTAATTTCTGCTTAGAAATATTTTTCAAACTAATTAGCTAAACACAAATTGCTTCGTACCAAAAGTACTTTTGAGAAAAAATACTACTCAAAATAAGCTCATTTTAAAAGCTTGGCCAAAAATGCTATAAATTCCTAATTACCATCTCTAGACTTCTAATTAATGTAATAGTCACATTCCAAACGGGCTTAACTGTCATAACATTGAACTTCAAGGTCCCCTAACGTGTTTTCCAGACCGAAACAGCAGGAGTTCATAACTTCGCCGGCGACGAATCACCGTCCCTGTCCGCCGCCGTCATCCGCCGATGGAACACCACCTCCGGCGGAATTTGGAGATCAACGAGAACATCAGGCCTCAAGCTCTCTTACAAGCCCTCTCTCTCATCGTCAACCCTTCCACCTCCGACTCCACACTTTCATCCATACTCAAAACCCTAACGCTCTCTCTCAAAAACCCAAATACGAATCCTTTTCTCAGCCACCACATTCTCCGCCTCTTCTCTCTACTTTTCCATCACCGTCCACACCTCCCTCACAACGTCATCTCCACCGTCCGTGAATTCTCTCTCCTCCATTCAACTTCTGCGCGCTCACTTGCCGACGCCCTCGCGTGTCTCTCCCTCTCAGATATCAACGTCAACGATGAATCGACATTCCTCTCACTCGTTCTTCGTCCCTGTATTTCTGTTCGCCATTGGTTGCTTTTGAATGTGAGTAAATTTGACATACGGCCGTCGGTTTTGCTTACGGTTCTGCTAGGATTTACGAAGGACCCCTATCCGTACATTCGTGGTGTTGCTTTGGATGGATTAGCTGATTTGTGCAAGTGCATTGTTGTGGAAGATGATAGTCTCATCCACGGTTGCTATCTTCGAGCTGTTGAGCTTCTGTTTGACTCCGAGGACTCAGTGCGATGCTCTGCTGTTCGTGCAGTAAGATCTCCGAAAGCTGAATAAGTCTGATGTGTATATATTACTGCTTGAGATGTATTTGCATTACTGAAAAAAGCTATTTGGAATGTATGAATTATTTGTATCTTAGTAGAAAATTATAGAGACCCTTTAGTGTTAAAGAATTCAAAATATTGAATATTAGCATGAAAAATAGGTGCAAAAGTAGCGTAATTGAGATATTTGAGATTGTATGACCGAACCAACTAGCTAGGATAGAGGCATAATTGTGTATGCAGGTGTTTCTGTTGCTGTAAGTCATGATGAGACTCTTATTTATCTATTTTATTTTTGATAAAGTATGATGAGGCTCTTGCTAGAAAGATGTTTATTTGTGATTGAATAAAACTTGTTCTTGGCCAGTTCTTATATTACATCTCATTGGAACTAAATTATATGTTCTTCTTTGGTTAATTATGTTGCAATTATGAATTTTTGTCATGTGTCAGAACTGGAATAAACAAGTGTTGTCAAATAGTACTAGTTATCTTCTGTGCTAGAATTAAGTTTGTGACAACTTAACTCTGGCTTTTACCTTTTTTTACACCAACGATTGTTGTGGATTTCATCCAGATGACTGGATTCTACTTGTCAAATACACCCTTGTCTTGTGTTTATAGGGCCAAAAGATTATTGAAAAAACATCTGTTTACTTTTAAAACAATAAACATTTTGTATACTGTAATGAGGGTTAGTTTTGTCATTTGAGTATTTTTAGTCCATGTATTACTAAAACCTGCGTTCTTATTTCACATTCTATCGTGCATAAAATGATGTACACAGATTCCTACATAACTTATGCAACTATTGTTTATGAAAACAACAAAAGTAGGAAGCAAACCAGCATTAAAATAATGTTGGATTTTATGCGGAGATTAAATTTCCTTCCTAGACCAACCAAACAACCCTTAAAGGTTTCGTGTTGAAATAAAAGGCTGAATTTTTTGTTTTAAGATACACAAGGTCTTTCTTGTTGTTCAATTGGTTCATTTTTGTTTATTGTTGAAATTTTTATGTACATTGGTTCCTGTTGCATTAAATTTTCTCTGCTGTAGGAAAATTAACGTCTGAGGATCAGAGACTTTCCTGCTTAGAGATATTTATAATCAATGACTAATTCTTTACTCCTGTCACTGATCCAGGTTAGTGCATGCGGGCAGTTAATTGTGGCATCTAAACAAGAGAGAAGTAAAAGGGACTGGTGTGATGCATTATTTCTGCAGGTATCTTTTCCATTTAACTCTCTGATTGGGTGTTACATGAAATTCATCTCTGTTAATATCTCACCCTTGCCACCCTTCGTTTGAAAATGGAATAAAGGTATTTACCTACAGATAAGAAAAGAAGGAAACACAGTAAGTAAATGTAATGGTAATTATGATGCTTCTAGAGGAAGATGGCACCCAACTTGGTCTGCTAATGAACTTCTTGAAAAATATTAATAGAGATTTAATATTTGTAATGAGTCATTTTGCATTTACTGTATTAGGTTCTGGAGGGAGATCAGAAGAATCCGTTGGAGATACTTCTCTTGTTAATTTAACAACAATGTTGCCGTGAGGTGTCTGAGTCTTGCCATGATCATCTTGTGAATCAAAATTGTGTGAAACCGAATTAGCCAGCATGTACTCTCTCACTCTCTCTTTTCGTTTTTCTAATTTGTTTCAACAATACCTGGTAAATGCTTCAAATGTATGATTATAAGATGTTTATAGTAGTGATTTTATCTTGTTTTTGTGCAATGGTCATATAAACAATAATGCAAGATATCTTTTTGATTCACCTTTCTCATTCTACATGATATGCTTGCAGCTATGTTCAATGGTGAGAGACATGAGTGTCAAAGTCAGGATTGAAGTTTTTAGTGCCCTAGGGAAGATTGAAATTGTTTCGGAATATATTCTGTTACAAACGCTATCTAAGAAAGCTTCATCTGCAACAAAAGAAATGAATTTTCCTGGCCAGTACGCTGAGAAAATTTTCAGGATACCAGCATCGAGTGCTAGTTTTGCTTTTCTACATGGGCTGGAGGATGAATTTAGTGAGGTAATGTTTTTTGTTGTTGCCATGTTCCGAGAGTCACTTCTCTTTCTCTTTCTCTAATTTTAGAAACTTTACAATAAGGAATATGCAAGTATAACTCTCTTTTGCTTAATTGAAGGTAAGAGAATCTGCTTGCCGAGCTTTGCAAACATTGGCTATCCTTTCTGCTGATTTTACTAATGAGGTTGTGAACTTTTTAATGGACGTACTTAATGATGATTCAACGGCTGTAAGATTACAAGCTTTAGATACTATGCATCATATGGCGATGGTTGGCCATCTAAAGGTGCAACAAGCGCATCTGCATATGGTAAATCTTTGATCCATCTTGAGGCCTTTGTTTGATTGATCCTTGTTGAGAGACAAGGCAAGTGTGAATACCTTGCCTGCATCTCATTCAAATTTTACACCTGGACCGCATCTTGCTATATTGCTGCATTTAGTGATTGTTTGTCAGCGTGACTGAACATAGTACAACTTTAGCAGTTATGGAATAAACTGGTTAAAAATAACATCATCTCATCTTGACAATTGAGGCTGGAATGCTGGTCAAGTCTTGATTTATCCCTAATCCCTTTCTAATATAGCTATGCTTGCTTAAACATCAAGAAGTTGATGTGTTTCTCTTTTTAATTTGACTTTTCGAGCTACTTACAAAGGAAATGTTGACACTGTTGCGATTTCTTCTAAACTTTTTATTTCTGGTTTTACAGTTTCTTGGGATTCTACTTGACAGTCACAGCTTGATAAGGTGTACAGCGAGGAAGGTACTAAAACTGACAGAACTACCGAGCTTGGCTATGTTCAAAATGTGTGTAGATGGACTTATAAGAGAGTTTGAATTGTATCCACAGGTATGTTGCAGAAAGATTGTTTTACATTGCTATTCACAGAGCAGTTAAATCCATACATGGTTAGTGTGAGAATGCATGGGAGAAAATATGATTGATATTATTCTCATGTGTTAAACATGATACAATGAGCCATATATATATATACATATCATGTCCTACTCCTAATACATATGGGATTAGGGTTACATAACTATTCTAACACTCCCCTTCAAGCTGGTGCATATAAATCATATGTACCGAGCTTGTTACATATGTAGTTAATACGAGGACCAGTGAGAGACTTGGTGAAAATATCTGCAAGCTGATCATTCGACTTCACAAACTTTGTAGCAGTATCTCTCGAGAGTATCTTTTCTCTAACAAAGTGACAGTCAATCTCAATGTGTTTAGTTCTCTCATGGAACACTGGATTTGACACAATATGAAGAGCAGCTTGATTATCACACACAAGTTCCATCTGACTAATCTCACCAAATTTCAACTCCTTGAGCAAATGTTTGATCCAAGTTAGCTCACATGTCGCCATAGCCATTGCTCGATATTCTGCTTCTGCACTAGACCGAGCAACCACATTCTGTTTCTTGCTCTTCCAAGATACCAAATTTCCTCCTACTAAGACACAATATCCAGAAGTAGAACGTCTATCAGAAGGTGATCCTGCCCAATCAGCATCTGAGTATCCAACGATCTGCTCATGGCCTCGATCCTCAAACAATAAACCTTTGCCTGGAGCTGATTTTATATACCGAAGAATGCGAACAACTGCATCCCAATGACTATCACATGGAGAATCCATAAACTGACTCACAACACTCACAGGAAAGGAAATGTCAGGTCTTGTCACTGTAAGGTAATTTAATTTACCAACCAACCGCCTATATGTTGCAGGATCGCTAAGAGGCTCCCCCTGTCCTGGCAGAAGTTTAGAATTCGGCTCCATCGGAATGTCAACAGGTCTACAACCTGTCATTCCTGTCTCCTCAAGAATATCTAAGGCATACTTTCGTTGTGAGATCACAATACCTGAGCTAGACTGAGCGACCTCAATACCTAGAAAATACTTTAGTTTGCCGTTGCTTCAATTTAGTAATACCATCCTGGTCATTGCCGGTAATAACAATGTTGTCAACATAGACCACCAGATAAATACAGAGACTCGAAGCAGAATGCCGATAGAATACAGAGTGATCAGCTTCACTCCGAGTCCTGCCAAATTCCTGGATAACTGTGCTGAACTTACCAAACCAGGCTCGAGGAGACTGCTTTAGCCCATAAAGTGACCGGCGCAAGCGACATACAAGGCCACGAGACTCCCCCTGAGCAACAAACCCAGGTGGTTGCTCCATATAAACTTCATCCTCAAGGTCACCGTGTAAAAAGACATTCTTAATGTCCAGCTGATAGAGTGGCCAATGGCGAACAGCAGCCATGGATAGAAAAATGCGGACTGATGCTATCTTAGCCACGGGAGAGAAGGTATCACTGTAATCGAGCCCAAATATCTGAGTATATCCCTTGGCAACAAGACGAGCCTTAAGACGATCAACCTTACCATCCGGACCAACCTTGACTGCATACACCCAACGACAACCAACAGTAGATTTACCTGAAGGAAGAGGGACGAGCTCCCAAGTACCACTCGTATGTAAAGCAGACATCTCGTCAATTATAGCCTGTCGCCATCCTGGATGAGACAATGCTTCACCTGTAGACTTAGGGATGGAAACAGAGGACAAAGAAGATAGAAAAGCATAATAGGGTGATGACAAATGATGATAACTTAAACCGACATAATGGGGATTAGGATTAAGGGTGGTCCGTATACCTTTCCGAAGTGCAATCGGTGTACTAGGAAGAGACAAGTCCGCAGTAGGAGCAGAGTCAGGTGCAGTACGTGAATCAGCTGGGCCTGATGCTGGGTGCGGACGACGATAATATGTCAAGAGTGGTGTTCCTGTGGCAGGGAGTGTAGGAGGAGCCACACTAGACTCCCCAACGGTTGGAATGGGTAAGACTTCTGTGGCGGAAGGTGAAGGAGGGGCTATAGTAGACTCCTTAAAGATCGGGATAGGTAACACCTTAGATATATCAAGGTGGTCAGAATGGTCAGAAGAGGTAAAGAAAGGTTTAGACTCAAAAAATGTGACGTCGGAGGACATAAAGTACCTACGAAGATCAGGTGAGTAACAACGATATCCCTTCTGAACACGAGAATAACCAAGGAAGACACACTTGAGAGCACGAGGAGCTAACTTATCTTCCCAGGGGCTAAGTTATGAACGAAACAAGTGCTCCCAAAAACACGAGGGGGAACAGAGTATAAGGGTGACTGGGGAAACAATACTGCATACGGAATCTGATTCTGGATGGGAGATGAAGGCATCCGATTAACCAAATAACAAGCTGTGAGAACTGCATCGCCCCAAAAACGCAACGGAACATGAGATTCAATGAGAAGTGTGCGAGCAGTCTCAATGATGTGCCTATTCTTTCTCTCTGCAACCCCATTTTGCTGAGGGGTATAAGGACAAGAGGTCTGATGAATAATTCCTTGAGAAGTCATAAATTGCTGAAATTGAGAGGATAAATATTCTAAGGCATTATCACTGCGAAAAGTGCGAATGGAAACACCAAATTGATTTTTAATTTCAGCACAAAAATTCTGGAATATAGAAAATAACTCAGAACGATCTTTCATTAAGAAAATCCAAGTACATCTTGAATGATCATCAATGAAACTAACAAAATAACGAAATCCCAAGGTTGAGTTGACTCTACTAGGACCCCATATATCAGAATGAACTAAAGAAAAAACAGACTCTGCATGACTCTCAATACTACGAGGAAAGGAGGCTCGGGTATGTTTCCCGAGCTGACATGACTCACATTCTAATGTAGATAAACTAGACAAACTAGGCACCATCTTCTGAAGCTTGGATAAACTTGGATGTCCTAAACGTCTGTGAATTAGGTCCGGAGGATCTGTAACTAGACATGCCTTGGAGGAATTGAGTGAGTTAAGGTAGTAAAGGCCTTCTGATTCAAGTCCTGTTCCAATCGTTTGTCTCATACTGCGGTCCTGCATAATAAAAGAATCATCAATAAAATATATACCACAATGGAGGGCACGAGTCAAACGACTAACAGATGCAAGATTAAAAGGACAGCCAGGGACATAAAGAACGGAATCTAGAGTGACAAAGGGTAGGGGATTCGCTTGTCCAACACCTTTTGCTTTAGTTTGAGACCCATCGGCTAAAGTAACAGTGGGAAGAGACTGTGAATACACAATATTTGACAAAAGTGATTTATTACCAGAGATATGATCAGAAGCGGTTGAGTCCGCAACCCATTGTCCAAGAGTACTAGACTGGGAAATACAAGCAAAAGAATTACTAGCAACAGAAGTATCAGTCTGAGCAACAGAGGCTACTTGGGGAGATGTCTGCTTACTTGCTCGATATTGAAGGAACTCATTATACTCCCCTTCAGATAAAGAAAATCCCTGATTACCTGTAGTCTCGGTCTGAGCAACATAAGCATTTTTGGGTGAGCGACAATGTAAAGAATAGCACACGTCACGAGTGTGTCCAAGTTTATGACAATAAGAGCACTTGGGTCTAGATCTTCCAAAACGACCTCCTCCTCGTCTATTCTCCATAGTTTGAGATGCCCGATTGTCCACTGACTGGGATACGAGGACAGATGAGTCAAATGTCTGTGATGAGCTCACTGGGTGACTTGGTGCTGCAACAAGGCGAAGTAATCGAGAGAATAATTAATCAACTGTGGGGATAGTCGGACTAGCCAAAATCTGGTCACGTACTGAATCAAGGTCATCAGGGAGTCCAGCGAGTGTAAGAACTAGAAACATCTTCTGTCGTTGCTTTTGTTGCTTTTCAATACTAGCAGAAACTGGCATCAACGTCTCAAATTCTTCCATGACTGCCTGTACTTGTCCCAAGTAAGTAGACATATCCAATTCCTGTTTCTTCAAGCTTGTCATTTGCGATATTACATCATAGAAACGAGATATGTCATTAGTGTATAAATTACGAGCCTTTTCCCAAACTAAATAACATGTCTGGAATGGACGGAACAAGGGTATCAATTTGGAATCAATAGATCGCCACAGGATACTACATAACTGAGCATCGACCTTCTCCCAAAGTGTTTTGGCCTTTTCATCACCTTCGCTAGCCTTTTTTGTTAAACGATCTTGAACTCCTTGACCTTTACACCACAACTCGACAGACGAAGCCCAAGCTAAGTAGTTTGAACTTCCCATTAAAGGTTCTGAGGTAATCATAACACCGTAACTGCCAGAACCCGGGTTTTTAGACCCGAAAGCATCGACTCCCAAAGACATCGTTGGATTATCGCCAAATAACAGAAAGAATCAACTGACAACTCGCTGAAACAGATGAAGGAAACACCGTTTTTTTTTGCCGGAAAATTACTGTAGCTGCCGGAAAAAGTCAGTGTAGTCGCCGGAAAAACTAAAAGTGGTCGGAATCAAACGAAAAACGTATGGATAGACTCGGAATTACTAGGCGATCCGACTGTCCAACTGGAAGTTTTTCAAAAAATGGCCGGAACAGTGCTCACGCGCCGGCGCGTGGGGCGCGTGGGTCAGATCTCGCCGGAAAGTTCTGGCGCGTGAGGGCGCGTGTACGTGAGTTTTCCGATGGGGTTTACTGGGGTTTGGTCGCCGGAGCCTGAGGAGTCTCGTGGTGGTGTTGGATTTTTGCATACACCAACAGAATTGATGTAATTACGGGCAGCCTTCTAAGTCGCCGGAAAATTGCACGGCGACGAGGTCTTTCTTCCCGGAAGTCGCTGGAATGATGCACAGCGATAGGTTTCTCACTAAAGCTCTGATACCATGTGAGAATGCACGGGAGAAAATATGATTGATATTCTCATATGTTAAACATGATACAATGAGCCATATATATACATAACATGTCCTACTCCTAATACATATGGGATTAGGGTTACATAACTATTCTAACAGTTAGGGTGTCAATTTTGTCGATGCCAAATGCTAATCGACAACCACCATTCAAGATGAAGCTCGAGATTCTAAAAGGCCTAGCAACCCAACTTGATTCTTTCTGCTTCTCTCCTTGATGGGAATTCAAAACAAGAAGAAAATACCATTTAATCCTTTAACTTAAACTCCAGCCAGAATTTTCCAACTTCTGTCAGCCTCCTCAAGTGACCTTCTCTCATTTTATCCTCAGAGTGTGCTACTTGCGCTTTCTGCGAATGTGGTCATTTTAATCTTGTCTAATCTTGTAACCACATAATATGAACTTATCACAAGCTATTCTATCAAGAATTTTTATTGTTCAATAATGTCATACCAATTCTCCCCCAATTATGAGACTTCGAATGAATTGCCCCTACCAAAACTAAGGTACTTCTCCCCATTGTAACCACACATTCTTAATAATATCACCGTAAGCAAGGCTTAAATAACTCAGTGACTGCAGAAATACTGCTACCTAAAGGACAACAATGACGGAACCGAATGATGTATGAGAATTGGACTAAAAGAAAATAATTCGGATCAATAATGGCAAGAAAGAAGGTACTTCTCCCACGAGCGCTTTGATTTTGTAAAATGAATAATAATCTTCAAATTTTTTAACAGAGAAATAGAGTAAGAAAAGCATTAAAGAAATTTACCTCAGAAAAAGATATTTGCTTTTCCAAGCAAACAGAACTTGGACTTGATAATGATGGGACAATGTCCTTTTTGGTAATTGCTGACTTGAGCTGAGGTATTTGCTAATTGCTGAGTTGAAACTGAGATGTTAAATAGAAGGAGATGTTAAAGTTTTATATCAATCTTTAGGTTGGGTTCAGACTCAACTTTTACCCATTGACCCAGCTTTGTGCATTCTATATTTATGGTGCTTTATTTTAGGAGAAGCGGAAGTGTTGCTTGAAATCCCAATTTGAGGATATCCCATTTATGATATTTCCTTTTTATTTTTAGTAGATTATTTACCTAGATATGGGAAGCTAGGATACATTTGTTATCTAATTATTGTTCTGATTTTGAAAATTTTATTTATCAGGATGAAACTGAAGTCTTTTCCGCTTTGTTCATAGTTGGTCAAAATCACGGAAAGTTTTTAGTCAGCTTGATTAATGAGGTTTCCCAAATGGTAAGTATGGATCCCTGTATGATCCAGTACGTTAGTTTTTTTTCTTCAAAGTTCCAGTACATTAGTTCAAGTGATGCTTTATGGACAATTCCAGAAATGTATGTGGAGCTTCTTTGAGTGCTGTAGATGTTACGAGTTCTATATATCAGCCTTTTCAACTAATTGATAAATTTCTTTTAATTTTTTAAATGGTTTTTGGTCAAAATCCCTGTTCTTACCCTAATCTAGACACATGAGTTAGTTTCTCTTTTGCCACTGTTTAATAAGTAATCATGTTGAACATGAGTGCTTATAATTGTTTAATTCAGCAGTTTAGATTCTGAAAAATGACATTTCTAACCAACCAGAAAGAAAGCCTAAAAATCAGAATAGCTATGCAGGACAAAAATATTCTGAAAGCTCTTCAATTTCCTTACATGTGCAGTTAAGATGTCCAAGTTGCCCGCTTTTAAATGACCTATTGCACATTTCACATCACCCAAATTAAGTCACTTACCTTAATACATGTATTTTGTAGGATAGTGTCATGCATGAGACTCCTACAGAACCCTACTTATTTTTTTACTTTTGTTAGTTACATATATCCACACAGATGATATAACTGTGTCAAATAAACTGAAAAACTCATAAACAAAGTGAAAGATATGATCTGACAGCATTTCTGGCATTTAAAAGCAGAACTTATGAAAACGTCTTATTTTAGATCTAATCTCCTTGATTCTTTGTATTCTGGCTATTTCACTTATATAAGTTTTTTTTTAGTCACCATGTAATGTATGTGCAGGTAGAGCCCTCTTCTGGAGGTAAGTTGGGTTATGACAATGCAAGAAAAGCTTCATATTTAGTGTTAGCCACCTCTGCGCCAGTCTCAATGAAGCAGCAAACTTGCAGCATTCCACCAAGAATATTCTCTTATGCAGTCACACTATTAGGGAGAATCACTCGTAGTTTGGCTGAAATAGTTGACCAGAGAACACTTTTGGCTTATCTTTCTTATTGCAGTAGATTCACATTTGTTTCTGCATCGGAGTTTTTTAAAGTGGAAGAGCATCTGGAGGGATGTGATGTGCAATTGATACAAAGATATGAAGTTATCTCTAATTATCACATTCGGAGGAAATTACAACTGAAGGAAGCAGAAAGCTCGCTTTTGGACTTCCAGGTTGAGCAGAATAAAGAGATAAACTGTGTGAATATCATCCTTCAGGTGGTAATAGACATTTGGCCATCGCTGAAACTTGGATTGATTGATGAAGTAACTCGAACATTGAGGTTGCAATTCTTTAGTATCAAATTATGACTACCCGTGAATGCAACTGTTATTTTTGTTTCATTTTATTATGTTGAGTACTTGCAGGAATTCCTATAATTGTTTATAGAAAAAGTTGCATTCTGCTGCAATGATGGCTATCTTTTCTATCAATCTTGCATGTTGTAATTTGTTGGTATATTCCAGTCAAGGTATCTAATACTACCCATTGCTAATGTTTCTCAATTGTATGGTTTCTGCAGGAGTTTGAAGGCAGAATTGGGAATGATATCAGATAACAATCACAGGGGTGAGTTAGTATTTGCTTTGCTATATATAGATGCTTTGGAACGACTTGGACACTTATGCTCACACTTGATGTTGTCCAAGGAGTTCTACTGCCATGAATGGGGGAAATTGGAGTGCTCTTTGGGAAAACTCGACAGATGCCTGAGGGATATGAGGTATAAGTTCATAGGTTTAACCAAAGAGGACAATGTTCTTATCTTAGAGTTAATAATTGCAAATGGTATATTGACACTTTGTAAAATGGAAGCCTGTGCAGACAAGACTACTCTAAAGAAATTACATTATGTGATGTCTTGTATTGAACATATTTGTGGAGAAGGATCCACTGTATCGTCCAGTTTTGTGGTTGAAGTTCAGAAGTCATTGAGTGAGATTGATACCACTAGTTGTCCGATCTTGGATAATCCATATCTCCTTCTGAAGTCACTTGAGCATTTCACTCCAAGAAAGGTAGTTTCTTCGGGAAATCTCAAATGTATGGAAGCTGAACTGCATTTTCAAGGCAATGACTTTCAAAATCCTCTTCCTTTTATCTCTGGGCTGCCTGTTGGTGTATCCTTAGATATCACACTCCATAACATCTCGAGCGAGAATAGGCTGTGGATAAAAATGAGTCTCGAAGAGAAGTTAACTCAATTTGTTTTCCTGGATTTTCATGAGATTGAAGGGCACAATGAAGTAAGGAAATTCACGTTTGTTGCACCCTTCTATCAGACCCCCAGGGCAAACTGTTTCTCATTGAAGATCTGTATCGTTTTAGAATGCATGTCTGACGATGATCAGTTGTTCAGGAGCTGTGGAGGTCCTAATCATGAAGTTGCTCATCTCTGTGAAGAAAAAGAAGTCTACTTTTCCGTCGCTGTTAGGTAGTTGTTTCGATTTGATCAAGTCTGGCCAAGAGATTACTCTAGTTTTCTGAATTATGCTGCTCACTGGCAAATTTGGGTAAAATCAGTTGCTGGATTTACACAATTTTGTCCTTATCAATTTTTAATGACTGTGGATTACCCCCACAGAATAAGAGGTCTAAGTGAGCACAATGAGACCAGGTGGCAGAGCAGGAGTAGAAGGAGCTTCATAGTTCAGAGCTCAGACCCTAACCAAGGCATTGAAAGTATTGCTGTAATTCTTATATCGCTTGGTGCTAACTCAACATGCCTGAACTTGTTTCCTTTTTTGTCATCACAGGCATCATGTTATCGAGTTTATTCTTCACCTAGTTGTAGCGATAATGTATATAGTAACCTAGGTTAAGCTTGTAACGTTACTTATGATATTTTAAATTATTGAATTATTGATTGGTTTGTACTTGAATATAAAAGGAACAAGAAAATAATATAGGCTACATTAATGATTTCTGAAGTTAGCCTCAATCTATTATGCTGCTCCAATTTCGTCCATTAGAACTTTTGCTAATAAGCTTAGTGCTAGACACTCTTAAATCGTAGTCATTTTAGGTATACTTGTACTAAAAAAGAATCTCAAACTCGATCTTGGTTTTAGCAGAAAAAGAAGATACTTAGGGTGTGTTTGGTATAACGGAAAATGTTGTCCATGAAAAATATTTTTCAAGAAAATGTTTTCTTGAAAAATAAGTAGTAATCTTATTCATTTTCCGGTGTTTGGTACGCAAATTAAGGAAAATAACTTCTGAAGAGTATTCATAAATAATTTAGATACAATAAACATGAAGCCATAAACTTTCGAACCAATAACCTTCCGAACCCACAAATTTCATAAACTTAACTTTCGAAACCGCGAACTTTCGAACTCATAAACTTTATAATTCCTAAACACGTAAACTTCCAATCACATAACCTCAGAACTCATGACTTTGGAACTTAAAAACTTTCGAACCTGTAAACCGAAAGATGAAAAAACTAAAACTGAAAGTATGTAAAAAAATAATTTTTTTCGGGGTGGGGGGGGGGGGGTCGGGAGAAAACCGAAAAGCAGGAAATTTAAAATTATAAAAAAAAAAGAGTACAAATTTTTTTTTTTTTTTTTTTGCGGTTGGGGGGGGGGGGGGGGGACGAGAAAAACGAAAAAATAGAAATTTGAAATTACAACAAAAAAGTAATTTTTTTTGCGGGGGGAGGGGGGGGGGGGTGGTTGACGTAATAAAAAAACTAAAATTTGAAAGAAAAAAAAACGTTTTTTTAGGAGAGAGGGGTGGGGTGGGGTGGGGTGGGTGGATTGGTGAGGTGAGGAATAGGGTGGGAAAGGTTGAGAATGTGTTTTGGAAAATATTTTGTTGAGAATGTATTTTGGAAAATATTTTCCCTTCTCTTGATAAGGAAATTTTTTCCCTCCAATTGGAGGAAAATAAGTTGATAAGGAAAATCTTTTCCAAAACATTTAAGTCAACCAAATATGAGAAAATTGGAAAACATTTTTCGAAAAATATTTTTCTTCATACCAAACACACCCTTAATGCTTAAAGAAAAAGTAATCGTTGGAAGTGTCCAGTAAGAGTAACACGTGATGTGTTTCATTATAGAAACAAAATCTACCATTTAAGTGGATGAAGGGTGAAAAAGGTGAGTCCTTATCTACCTAGTTTTAAATCATAGACCTGTTGGTTTCCAAAAATTTCTCGATTATAAAACATGGTCTAACATTTTATCTTAAAATATAATTTTTTGAATAGTTAAAGAAGTTTTAATTTTCGAAAGCTATCAAAATTGCACTATTTATATGCTTCATAGAACTTTATGATTCTTTTTATAAAAGTATCATACAAATCTAGATGATATTATGTGTATGGAACCGTTTATAGGGCTGTTGCCATTCATAGTACTCACTCACTTATGTTCACCTCCAACAGCATTTAGTCCTTCAACTCTTAAGAAACTTCAATTTGACCCATATCATAGGTGGCCTGTACAGATTTTTTTTTTTTTTTAACGGATGATATTGATAAAAGAAAATTACAAAGTCATTACACAGTCCCTGAGGACATTAGCATTGCCAAACTTGGCAAGTTTGTTACACACACTAGAAACAACATACTTAGAACTATTACTAGGTCCATGCTTGTCCTTTGACAATTGAGATTCAACAAAACAAGGTGGACGTGCATGGCAAAAATATTCAAAAGATTTGAAATTTTTCACTGCTTCCTTCGCCAAGAGATGGGCCACTTCATTTCCTTCCTTGAAGTTATGCATCGGGGTTGGGAGCTTCAACTGGTGCATTAACCACCTGTATTCAAAAATTAGGTTAGAGAGGTTTTGTTGTTCTCACAGAGAAGTTTTATGATATCCGTTGAATCTGTCTCTATCTCTATCTTGGGGAACTTCATTTCACGAGCAATTTTTAAGCCTTCATGAAGAGCCATTAATTCACTTTGCATGACTGATGCTGCATATGTTGATTTGCAGAAGCCAACAATCCAATCTCCATTGCTATTTCTAAAGACACATCAAGACCAGCTTCCAGTGTGGTTTTTGAAAAGGCACCATCAATGTTTAGCTTAATAGTACCTCATGGGAGTTTATTCCATTTGATCTCAATTAAAAACCTTTTGAAGGGATTTTTTTCCGTGAAGAAATTGTATTCCCGGGCTTGTTGTAAAACATTGGTGGGTTGAACATCAATACATCATAGGTAGGGTTGTTAATGTTGTTGTTATTTCTGTTTTTCCAGATATTCCAAATGGAGAAAGGAAAGATTGTTTACCAGTAGCATACTTACTATTGTGAATAAAATTTTCTTTTAGGCTAATCATCCGTGGGGGGCATCATTTAAAGGGTGAATGGGGATGCCCATATTCTTCCAAAAAAGCTTAGTGCCAGGGCAGTGGAGGAAAATATATTGTGCATCTTCTAAATTTTCTCTACATATTGTGCAAGTGTTGTTCATATTGATGCCAATGTGGAATAAAAAAGCTCTGCAAGGTATATGATTATGCATGCATTGCTAAAGAGGAAGTCTTATAGCATCTATTTTATCTGATAGCTCTCATTGTAAGACTCGTTTTATGTTTTATGGCATCAAAGAGGAAGTCTTATAGCATCAAGGATGGGGACATATTCCTTTTGTTAGAATAAATAAATATTGCTGGTATTCCTTGTAGATGTTCTTCTAAAAACCATTTACCTGCTCTGCTTGTCCTTGTGACTAGATAACCTAGGTTACTTTTCCCCGATAAATGCATTAAGACGTCTCATTCTTTAAAACTTACTTATGTGGACACTTTGAGGACTTGTTCTACACCAACTCGTATGGTTTTTAAGTACTTTCTCGCCATTGTTAACGATTTTCTAGGGCTACGTGGGCTTGTATCATGGGTTCCAAAAGTAATGATTTCCTTAAGTTCAAGCTTATATTGTCATGACTTCAAACCAAAGTGCGTCCCCTTTTCAAAAGTCTTAAATGAGTCGGATTGGATGGGTTACGTGGCTTTCTGCTCACTCGGCTTCTAGGATTATTGACCACGTCATTGTCATGTGCGGGAAATTTTGCTACCCCCGGCATGCCACCTCCTTAAGGAGGATAGGAGTTTTAATTTTCTTTCTTCCCGGAGCGTTACGTCAACCATTAGAACCCCTCTAACCAATACATGATTTCACCCCTATGGTAGGATGTCCTAGCTATGTGGTTTCACTCCTGAAAGGTTGAGATTAGATGCCTTCAAATTTTTGCACATATCATGAGCGTATTGATTTGGAAGACAAGTTGTTGTATCTTTAGTTCTCTCATACAGGTTCAATTATCAGGAAGGGCTAAGCTGTTTGAAATATGATAATCTCATAAGTGTTCAACTTCTTTTCATCCTCATGGGCTTGTGGCATAGATTCCTTATGTCAGTTAACGTTAGGAGTGTGTGATGACCCAAAATGTCATCTTTAAATTAAATAATCATCTCAGTGTTTTAAGACCTTGAAAAGCGCCATCAATAATTCCTCGACTTGCGTGCGCAGTCCGTATAATTTTCTGGAAGGTTTTTGTATGAAAAATGGATTAAATTATGAATTAGAGCTTTAAACTCAACTGAGTTGACTTCGGTCAATATTTTGAGCAAACGAACCCGGATCCAAGTTTTGACCATTCCGGTAGTTCTGTATCGTAATTTTGGACTTAGGAGCATGTTCGGATTTGGATTTGGAAGTCCGAAGAACAATTCGGCGCATTTTGGCGAAAGTTGGAAAATAGAAGATTTTTGGAAAAGTTTGACCGAGAGTTGACTTTTTGATATCGGGGTCGGAATCCAGTTCTGAAAATTTTTCATAGCTTCGTTATGTCATTTATGACTTGTGTGCAAAATTTGAAGTCATTCCGGATTAATTTGATATGTTTCGGCACAAAATGTAGAAATTGGAAGATTCGAAAACTCATAATTCGATTCGATGCGCGATTCGTAATTTCGGTGTTGTTTGACGTGGTTTGAAGCATTGATTAAGTTTTATTTTGGGACATGTTGGTATAATTGGTTAAGGTCCCGAGGGCCTCGGGTGGATTTCGGAAGGTTAACGGAATGGAAATCGGAAAAAAAGGGTTGCTGGAATTTTCTGCAGAAGCTGTCTTATACAGCAACTATGCAATCGTGGAGCCTATTTTGGAAGCTTATATCTCGAAATCTATAAGGAACCTGTAAATGTGTAAAACATGAAAGTTGTAGCCCTTGCATCCTAGTTTCCAGAAAGCTAAACTATTAATTATTTTGATATTTGTACAGAAAGTTATGATCGATTGAATAAGGGTTGGTAAAGCTGTTTTGAAATTTTCCAGAAATGTTTGATGCGAGGAGGCTACTTTGGAAGATTATACCTCTAAATCCAAAAGGAATCTGAAAATGTGCAAAACATGAAAGTTGTAGCCCTTGCATTCTAGTTTTCAGAAAGTTAAACCATTCGTCATTCCAACATTTGTACCGAAAGTTATGACAGATTTAGTGAAGGCCGGGACTGCCTTTTTTTGGCTGGAAATAAGTGCAAGTCCAATTTCATAGATGCGACTTGCCTGGAAAACAGTTTATATTCGGGCATTAGCCATTTTTATTCATTTGTGACGATTGTAGAGCTCGGGAAAAGCGATTTTCAATAGATTTTTCAAGGGAAACATTTGGGGTAAGTGTTCTATATCCGAAAGTGTTTATATTACATCAATCCATGGTTATTTTCATCGTTTATTTCGGATTTGGATGAAAGAAATTTAAGTTTTTGTACAACTTTCCAAAAATGAAAATTTAGGATTTGAAGGTCCATTTGATATCGGAATTCGATAATTTTTGTATGGTTGAACTCGTATTGGAATGGGTTATCGGATTTTATGTGTTTCGTCGGATTCCGAGACGTGGGCCCCACGGGCAATTTTGAGCTAAATTTCGGATTTAATTTGGAAAATATGTAAAT